ATCTGTCATCAGCACACACATGATCTGTCATCAGCACACACACACGACATCGGCACACACACGATCTCAGCACACACACTGTTATTTTGTTTCTCAGTTCGAATTTGTGGGACGATGCGAAGGATATTTATGACGCACACGAGTGTTCGCAGTATGACACTGCGGAAGAGTGTGCAAAGAACGAGTGCGACATGTGCCGTGGTGGTACAATCCTTCAACAGTTGTATCAGATGGGGAAGATTCCGGCGGTGATTAGTGGTTCAATTAGCGAGGCGCAGCTGAAGAGTGGAGATCTGTGTGGGGTGGGCGAGACGTACTGCGGGGCGTTCACCAAATATTTCAACGCTTTACCGAGTCTTCTTATTAAGGCTCTGGGTTACCTTCATGTTACGATTCCTGAGTTCTGCCCGAAGGGTGTGTGTAAGACTTCAGGTGTAGGCGAGTCGGTGGCCGCGTCCTTCGTCGGATTGGCGGCCTTCTTGTATGCGGCCCTGTAGCCATAAGTTGGCCAGAAGACAACTCGGGCGAATGTGGTGCGGCAGGTCAAGGACCAAAAAGACATCCCAAGGTCGTGTTTGGTGAGTTTGTGAAGAAAAAAAGTGACGGATTTTTAGTGCACAACTATGGAAGAGATGTATGACAGGTAGATATTACGTGCGAAGAAATATATATGTGAAAATCCTTGGGAGGTAGACTGGGATCTTGTTGGCTTTAGACTGACTGGGATCTTGTTGGTTGAGTGTTTCGTTAAATGTAGTTGAATGGAATACGATCTCGCAAGGTATCTCTTAAGGCCGTATTTGGTCAGATTGGTACGGTACCAAGCCGGCTCAGTTTATTGAAAAATATTCCACCCACATGGCACCTTCCCAGGCAGAGTCGTTTCCGGCAGAGTCGTTTCCGGCGGGACTGACAAGTTGACGAGAGAGCAGTCGGGGTTGCTGGGATGCGATTTCATAGACGGACGCATGGTGAGACTTTTGCCCAACAACAAGAAGGTAGTGGCGGTCATTGCCGACTGGAATAATGTTGAACCCTCGTGGTTGTTCCTCTGTCCTGAAGGCTCCCACTTTGACAGGTAGGCCTTGATCTTTCGCCATCATTACGGTAATCTCGTTGGCCGTCCTGTCACAAGTATAAATCCATCTGGTCGACCCCGCTGCAGTGTCTCCTATAGTGGAGGACCAAAGATGCAAGTCGGCCGCCCAACGGGTGCCACAAAACTCTGGACTCAACGTATCGATACTTGACATAAGCGATATAGCGCCTCCTAAGGGTCGTACAGCATCCGTTTGGCGCTCCATACTCGTTTCTTGCTTCGCGTCAGCCGTATGTTCCCTGTCCATTTGACCCACGTCCGTCCGACCCACGTCCGTCCGACCCACGTCCGTCCGACCCACGTCCGTATGCAATCCAGAGAGTTCAACGCGGTAGGTATATAAGTGACTATCTAGTTCATTAAGCACATATGCTCGAGGTAGCACTGGGTCAAAAACGATATGACGAGGACCTTCGCCGGCGGCCGGAATCTCTTCGAGTTTTATCAACCGTCCCTTACCAGTCACCTTCACGATCGCCATCACGTTGCGTTTCAATGCAGCGCATAGAATCAAATCTCCAAATGATGTCTCATTTATGTGATCAGGAATCTCCTCAGCACAATGACAACCCTCCAAGTCCTCCATTCTATCAGTAATGTCACCATCCAGAGCTAGACCGGTCTCGGACAAAAGAGTACTCGTCAATTGACCTTCGTGGTACAGCGCACACAATAGTACGTTGTTGATTACTTTGAAATACGTCGGCTTTCCGGCCATTCGAATTTTTCCCTCCAGTTTTACCTCCAGGATGTCATCGCATTGATCTGACTGCGATCTGCTATTTACTTTGGCGATCTGGTAAACAGCGCAGTAGTGATGTTCAGCGTCGATCGTCTCGGAAATAAACAGAGTGCATGTCCCTGATGCTCTCTCTTGAACGGTGGTAGGTCCGGGCTTGCTCACGGAGATGGTGGTGATATGCTTCAAATCTCCGGTATTGGTCAGCTTGGCAATTTGGACTTGGTTTGTTAGCGGGCATGAGACGAGCACACACGAGTGTGCTGTGTTTGTCATGGACTAAATAAAATGTTAGGGCATGGATTTTTGAATGGTATTCAAATTGTCGGGCAACAGGAAAGGAACGGAGCCCGCAAGCAAGAAGAATGGCAGCGCTTGGAGATTTCCATTTGGTCGTCGATCTGAAGCAGATGAAGTGATGAAGCCGTTAGTGCGGGTGCATCGGCGACTAAAGGCAGTTGATTCGTCCGCGGCGGATTTTTACAGGTCGCGGTACTGGTTAGGAATGATAACGGCCGCAACCCGGTCGGCACAGTCAGATGAGTTGTTGGCGCATCTGAAGGAGGCGGAGGGACGGGTCTTGGAACTGAGCCGGCCCGTGACCGGGGCGCCGATCTCGCAAAACAGCCTTATTTTACGGGCGGCTACGGCTCGGTACTTGTATGGCTCCAAGGCCGACTCTGGTGGCAAGGGAGGCGCACGGAGGTCGGAGTCCGGCGGCGGGGGGACCGGCCGGAGACCAGTGGCGAAGGACGCGCGTGTGGGAGCCCTGGAGTTCGCCATGGCACAACTGCTAACTGACAAGGAGCATGAACGGAACCGTTGTTTGCGAAGCATTAATCTTTGGGCCCTCAAAGTTTTGCTGAGCATGCAGTGGCCGCTCACCGGCTTTTTTATCGCTGTCCACAGCATCGAGCGCACCATCCGTTCTGAGTCGCCCAAGCTGGACGTGGCCCAGATCTCCCGCACCGGCCACTTGCTGGGTACCGCCTGCCTGCTTATGGCTGTCGGCTGTGAGTGCAGTCACAAGGAACTGATGAGGGCAAAGATCTTCATCGGCCAAGTGCCCAGCATCCTGAGCATGAACGATCTGGTAGCCAAGCAGCTGACTGTGGTCGCCAGTGAGCAAGCACGACCACCCCCCCCCCCCCCCACTCGTCGTTGCACTACCACTCTTTGGTTCACACGTCCCCGTCCGGTCGACCAGCGTAAACACTGCTGCCCGATCAGACTTGAACAACGGGTGCATGGTGCTGAAGACTCCGCTGGACTGGTTGACCTACTACACATCGCGGATGGTGTTGAAGAAGCGGGAATTGGACGTGGCGTTGCCGAGCGTAGACTTGTACTCTTTTCTGTTGACCTGGAGCGAATTCTCGATGACAACAGCGAACACGGAGTTAACAGGTTACGCAGCAGCGAATGCGTGGCGGATGCTACCGACGCCAACGTTGATGTCTTCGCTCTGGGAAACGGTCCTACACTGTTCGCTCTGGTTGTATTTGAATTGTCTTCACCGGAAGGTCGACGGCGCCACCTTCGTCGCCGCCGCGATGGCCTACCTCCTCTTCGACAGCTACTTACCCGGCCATGCTGCGGCCGCCGCCAACAGTCCTGCGCGCACGCCCAATACGGAGCCGGTCGCTGACCAGGGGGGTTTAGCTCCTGGTGGAGGTTTAGCTCCTGGTGGACTGGGAACCGGGCGTGGGGGGGGTCGTGAGGGAGGTCGCGAGGG